GTAGTAGTAGTAAAATTCTCATGGAAATGGCTTATTGGAGAATTAGGAATATGTGTAGATATGTGTAGAGGGTATAGTAGCAGGAATGAAAAGAAAGAACAAAAAAAGAAGAATAGACACGAGAAAAAGAAAAAAGAAAGAAAAAAACAATCAAACAAAGCAAAGAACGAAGTAGCGAAGAAAAGAACGAAGAGAGAAAGARAGAAAGGGAAAACATAGATCGAAAGTTTTCAGTTGAGAAAAGAAGATCGATAGAAACGAAGAAACAGCTGTGTACCACTGTTAAACGAAGAAATGATATGTGGAGCATGTGAAATGCATGGGAAAACATTACTCTAAATCTAAAATTGTCTATTGCAAAAACATTGCATCACGACGAATATATCCACATTTTTATATATTCTCAGTGCTCCACTACTAAATAAAGAATCGATGCGCGAAAACATTACTCTAAAGCTAAATTGATGTAAATTTTGCGAAAATTGGTTCACGTCCACCACGACTGATGGATATGATACGTGGCTGAAACGAAATGGAAAAACGTTAGCATTGCTCCAAATTGGTCTGTTCCAAAAAAGAAAAAACACATGTGTCTTCTCAGTGCACAACCGTTAAACAAAGAAATGATACGTGTTGCATGTGAAATGGAAAAACATTTACTCCAAAGCTAAATTGGTGTCTTGGAAAACTTTGCACAGCGATTAATATATCCATCTTCTCAGTGCACCGCTGTTAAACAAAGAAATGATACGTGGTGCATGTARAATTGGAAAACATTACTTAAAGCTAAATCGGTCTCTTGGAAAACATTGCATGGTGATGAATATAGACGATAAGGTCCACAAAAAACAATYACAAGAATAAATATCTAAAGAACCTAGATATTTTTACATTTCAAAATGCGCGAAAACTGTAAATTATTGTTCAAAGCTATTGACATCTAGGAGAATTCGGACCACTTCGGCCTTTTTTTGATCAAGCAGAGGGAATCATGCAATGGCTTCTAATATTATCTGCTTCAAAATCTGGACTATGACCATGATTTGTGTCTTTTCGAAGGAGACTTGCTTTAGCATATTGGAAGTATAAATGGTGAGTAAAGTTTCTAGTCGAGGTTTTCTCCTGTGCTTCAAGGGAG